AATATGAATAACAAAATAGAAATAATGAAAATAAGTTGCCTAAAAGCTAAATGAAATTAAATTTTTTTCTCTTTAAAATAATATGATCTAAAACTAAAAGGGAAAAATGAAGAAAATAAAAAAATTGAATGAGTTTCTAAAAATTTAATTCAATTAAAAAAATATTTGTTTCTTCATAATAAAACCTAAAAATTAACATAAAAATTAATTGAAAAACATTAAATAAGAAAATAGGTTTCTAAAAATTAAATTAAATTAAAAAATTAACGTTTTTCTTTGTAAAATAGTAAAATCTAAAAATTAAAATTAAAATTAAAATAAAGTAAAAAAAATATGAAAGTAAATAAAAAAAAAGATTTAAATAAAAAAAAAGATTTAAATAAAAAAAAAATAGAAAAAATACGCTGTCCATGTATTCGAAGCTCGCATCGCTCAAATCGCACGCCAGTGCTTTGCTCACTCGGCATTTGCAACTGCTGGAGCATCATTGGGTCGAGATGAAGGAAATTCCCTATATAATTACATTGGCAAGTATTTAGTATGATGACCGCGAAGATTAAGAGTCAACTAAATACATACTATTAAATTTGATGAAATGCGTGGATACGTTGCGTATGAGTAACATAATGTCTTAATAAATTTCATTAAAAAAAAAAAATAACTTTTATTGTTCGGCCCATAGGATTGGTCTGGCTGTTCACAAAAGGTGTTAAAATAGTCCCCAAGGTATCATATATAAAATTTGGGACTAAGAATATAAGATATCTTACTAAATTTTGTTGCGGACTTTAAAGCGTCTGGCGAAACTTACTGCCCACGGAAAGTGTCTGGCAATAACGAATATCCCCATTTGGAACATGCTTTGTGCCTAATTTTCTGCAGTATACACAGATTTGGAAATGTACCGAAAAACGTTTAACTTACGCATTATGTCCAGACGCATTCTGTTTTTTGTAGGAGGCAGGCCTGAGCACTCCGAACAGTTTGTCGTTTGAACTAAAGAGCAGACCTCTGTGATAATTTGTTGAAAAGTAGTGTACAGTGTACCAACTTACAAGCAGACATAATATAAGTTCGCCCTCACCCCTGAGTTTAAGGAATTTTTGCAAGGCTGGAGGGAACTTGTTTATTATACCTGCATTCATACATAAATACATAAGAATGAATTTCTAGATTTGTCCATCTTTTTTCAGTTTTTTGTATTGAGGTTCCACTATTTATATATGTATGTATCTATGAGCGTAGATCTCCAACATACGCAGTTCCAACGTTTTAGTACAAACAACCATACCATCGACAAAATTTAATACCTTCACGTTTTATGTATGTATGTATTAAGCACAAAACGAGCACGATAAAAAACAAACATATTAAAAGGGGGAAAAATACGTAAAAAAGAAACCTAAACACAGTGTTAATTTTATTTTATGGCTCAGTTGTGTTCTAACCGTTCTGTCTGCTGGTTGAATCCTCTGCTGCGTTGCAACAAAATAAAATGTTTAATATAAAGTTACGCTGCAAAAAACCATTTACCACCCAAAACCTTCCGCCTGTGTGAGTATAGACGCGAATGACGGCAATTGATAGATACGTACAACAGCAACTGCGACGCTGTGTCTAAGCGTGTTCGAAACTAACAAACCAACAACACATCAATCCACTCATCGTAATAATACTTACATAGCAATATGTAGTTGTGACAGCAGCCGCCGCTTGACCCCAATCGTATGGCGTTCTCAGTCGCTTTCATACTCCATCAGAATATTAAACATTGACATTGTCATTCTGATCACACCAAACGTCCCGCAATACAACAAAACTGACTGAATT